CACCTTGCTTATTTAACTTATACACAGAGTACGTCATGTGAAATGCCAGATTGGCTGAAGTACAAACTGGAATCAAGATTGCTGAGAGAAATATCAAAAACCTCAGATAGGCAGATGACACCACCCTTATGAGCAGAAAGTGAAGAGGAACTAAAGAACCTCTTGATGAAGGTGAAAGAGGAGAGTGAAAAAGCTGGGTTAAAACTCAACATTCAGAAAACTAAGATCATGGCATCTGGTCCCATTACTTCATGGCAAACAGAAAGGAAAAAAATGAAAAGTAGTGACAGACTTTATTTTCTTGGGCTCCAAAATCACTGCAGATATTGACTGCAGCCATAAAATTAAAAGACGCTTGCCCCATGAAAGAAAAGTTTTGACAAGCCTGGAGAGTGTATTAAAAAGCAGACATCACTTTGCTGACAAAGGTCCATCTAGTCAAAGCTACAGTTTTTCCAGTAGTCATGTACGGATGTGAGAGTTGGACCATAAAGAAGGCTGAGTGCCAAACAACTGATGCTTTCAAACTGTGGTTCTGGAGATTCTTGAGAGTCCCTTGGACAGCAAGGAGATCAAACCAGTCAATCCTAAAGGAAATCAATTATTCATTGGAAGGACTGATGCTGAAGCTCCAACTTAGGCCACTTGATGGGAAGAGCTGACTCATTGAAAAAGACCCTGAGGTTGGGAAAGATTAAAGGCAGGAGGAGAAGGGGACAGAGCATGAGATGGTTAGATGGCATCACCGACTCGATGGACAAGAGTTTGAGCAAACTCCAGGAGTAGTGAAAGACAGGGAGGGCTGGTGTACTGCAGTCCATGGGGTCACAAAGGGTCAGACAGGACAGAGTGACTGAACAACAACAATAGTTGCTTTACAATGTTGTATTAATTTCTACTGTACAGCAAAGTGATTCACATATATATATATGTATATATATTCTTTTAAAAGTTCTTTTCTATTACGGTTTATTCCAGGATACTGAATATAGTTTCCTATTCTATATAGTAGGACCTTGTTGCTTCAGATTTGCATCTGATAATCCACACTTGCAATCCATCCCTCCTTTGCCTCCCCTCCCACTTGTCAATCACAAGTCTGTTCTCTATATCTGTGAGTCTGTTTCTGTTTGGTAGATAGGTTCATTTGTGTCTATATTTAGATTCCACATATTTGTGTCATATGTGGTATTTGTCTTTCTCTTTCTGACTATTTCACTCAACCATTATTTCTCTTTAGGTCCACCTATGTTGCAAATGGCATTATTTCATTCTTAGAGCTGAGTAATATTCCATTGTATATGTAAACTACATCTTCTTCAACCATTTATCTGTTGATCAACATTTAGGTTGTTTCCATATCGTGGCTATTGTGAACAATGCTTCTATAAACATTGGGATGCATTTTTCTTTTTGATTTGTAGGAGTTTGAGTAACCTCCAGGAGTTGGTGATGGACAGGGAGGCCTGGCGTGCTGCAGTCCAAGGGGTCACAAAGAGTCGGACATGACTGAGTGACTGAACTGAACTGAACTGTTTGGATTTACATCCAGGAGTGGAATCACTAGATCATACGGCAATTCTATTTTAATGTTCTGAGGAGCCTCCATACTATTCTCTACAATGGGTGTACCACTTTACATTCCCATCAATAGTAAGGGGGAGGGGGTTCCTTTTTTTTACACCGCCTGGAACTTTTGTTAATTGTAAATATTTTAATCATGGTCATTCTGACAAGTGTGAGGTGGTACCTCATTGCAGTTTTGTAAACACCTGTAGTTTTAAACACTGAAATGTGAGAGCTGTTCCTTACTCAGCATCACTGAGCCCACCCTGATAGAGTCCATAGGAAGACTGCATGACATAACAGTTAGCATTGAGAACATGAATGGTATATAGCAACACTATGTAAGTAATTTGACTGTGTGGATCACAATAAACTGTGGAAAATTCTTAAAGAGATGGGAATACCAGATGACCTGACCTGCCTCTTGAGNACTGATGCTGAAGCTGAAACTCCAATACTTTGTCTACCTCATGCGAAGAGTTGACACATTGAAAAAGACCCTGATGCTGGGAGGGATTGGCGGCAGAGGAGAAGGGGACGACAGAGGATGAGATGGCTGTGTGGCATCACCGACTCAATGGACGTGAGTTTGAGTAGACTCCGGGAGTTGGTGATGGACAGGGAGGCCTGGCGTGCTGCGATTCATGGGGTTGCAGAGTCGGACACGACTGAGCGACTGAACTGAAATGAACTGAACTGATATAAGTAATTATTAGGTTAAAAAAAAGTGTGCAACACTCTTTCAGTGCTAAACAGGGATTGAGATAGGCCTTGATTGCTGTCCCAGTTTTGGTAATAAACATGTATTGTCCAATTTTCTGTCTCCAGGCCAAAGAAATCTAATCTACCCCTTCCCCACAGCGTTTGGTAATAAGCTCTGTAAAGTCAGCAGCATTGAGCTCAGGAAGTTTCTTTAATCATTAGACAGAATTTTCATGTCGAAAGCACTTCTGATGTAGGTCCACTCAAATTGCAGCATCGGTTCTAACGGAACGGCGGACTGGATCGCAGATGACCCGGGTTGAGCAATCTGCGGAAGCCAACCATGTGCGCAGTAATTCAGAGAGAGCAGAGTCGCGGGATCCAGGGGAGAAATCATGGGCAGTTAATGAGAATCAGATGCAGTGTAATTCCGACCGCAGCGCTCGTCCTGATCTCTGGGTACAGGGAATTACATCCATAAACAGACCAGACTTTATTTTATACAGCACTTTCATCCCCCAAAGAATTCCAAAAGCGTTCCAAAAGAATGCTCTGGTTGCTGGTAGCTCAGTGATGGGTAAGACAAACAGGGAAATTGTTGTGTTCACAACCCAGGCTCTGAACCTTCCTTAGAATCCTTGCCCTCCGGAATAGGCTAGCTTGGGAGACCAGGAACCCTTTGCTGTTATGAAAAACATACTCCCCCCGTTCCTTTCAAATATAAACGTGCTCATAAAAGAAATCCAAGCATGCATTCAAGAGGTTTTCAAACTCTAAGAACCACAATACAAGCACATAGTTCATGTCAGATTCAATGATTCACTGTACTGATTTCTATGTATACTTGGATATATACATATTTTTAAGTATACAACTTAAACAAAACTTCACTAAATACTACTTACTCTTCTCTAACATGTGATGTATTCTGATGTTATCTATTATATTTCATTTATAAAAAGCTGACCACTGTCCATAAGTTAACACTGCTATTGTTTAGTCACTAAGTTGTGTCCAACTCTTTGTAAACCCATGTACTGTAGCAATCCAGTCTCCTCTGTCCATGGGATTTCCCAGGCAAGAAAACTGGAGTGGGTTGCTATTTCCTTCTCCAAGAGATCTTCCTGACCCAGAGATCAAACCCACGTCTCCTGAATTAGCAGATAGATTCTCTACCCACTTAGCCTCCTGGGAAGCCCAAGTTGATATTACAATCCACATATATGCAGGAGCTTACATTTTGAAATTTGTTTCACTAAAAGATAGTCAAAGAGAGTGGAGGACTCCAACGTCATGGCACTTCAGTTATACCACAACAGACAACCCTGGGACAGTAACTTCACCTTTTTAGGTCACAAACTTTCTGGGATTCTTTCTGGTTTAACTTGCTGAAATTTTTATGTATGGCACTTATGTAGAACGTGAAAGAGAAAGTTGCTCAGTTGTATCTGACTATTTGCAACCCCATGGACTATACAGTCCATGGAATTCCCTTGGCCAGAATACTGGAGTGGGTAACCTTTCCCACCTCCAGGGGATCTTCCCAACCCAGAGATCGAACCCAGGTCGCCCACATTGCAGGCAGTATCTTTACCAGCTGAGCCACAATAGAAGCTGAACCTAAATTCATATGCTGAGACTTTTCCCCAAATTCCTTTGTTGATTCAGAGTTGGGGTTTAAGGTATGGAGAAATTCCACTTTCTTTTAGTACTAAACACAGTTTTGGGTGACCCCTAAATCAGTCAGAATGGTGGGGTTTTTGTTGTTGTTTTTCTATTGCAGGTAACAAAATCCTCCCTCTATCCAAACACACACAAAGGAAATTACTGGTTCAAATAATAGACTAGTTTAGAAGCTATAGATTTTAGCACAGATGGACACTGTCTTTCCTCATCTCTGGGTTCTACTTCTCTCTCTCAGCTATTATTTTATCCTGTTACAGAAAGGATTGCTCCTTTAAACTAGAGGAGATATTTATTAGCACCTCTAGACTTAAATTCTTCCAGCCTAACAATCCAAAGGAAAGAGGGCACCTTTCTCCTGACTGTTTAAGCAAAAGTTCTAGACTTATCATTAGCCCAGCTTAGGAAGTCACATGCCCATTCTTGAACCCAATATTGTGACCAGGTATACGCATTGTTCCAAATGGTCACGTCTGGACCATTGTGCCTACCCCCAGGGCATGGTGACGGCCTCAGAACAAGCAAACTACGTGAACTTGAGAACTTCACAAAGGAAAATGAATGGGCCATATCCAGAAGTCAGGGACATGAATTTTAAGTAGATGATGAAAAAAAAAAAAAGGCCATCACTGACTTCCATCCAGATAAAACTCCAATCTCTGCTTCCTATTCAGTCTTAAAGTACAGAGACAAAGCTGGCATTCTATCATTCCACTTGAAGAGCACTTTTCTCATCAAGAGAAATCCTGACATTTTCTCTCTCCAATCACTTTGAGAAGTTAGAAGTAGTGGCAAGGGATTCTCTTAGCTTTCAAATGGAAAACTTAATGTGCCATGAACTTCTGGTCATAAGCTAAGAAGTAAAAACTCTCTTTGGGCCTTTTAGAAATCAGCTCTCCAACTTTATGTCCATGGTTTGTAGTGTCGTAATTACCTCGCTGGTGTACAGTAGCTGCCTTCACAAACAAAGTTGAAACCTGCAGGTCACCTTGGATTAACCAATGTATTGTGTGCACAACTGCCAGGGCCCTGAATATGTGCCCTGACTTGAACAGAAAAGCACACGAAGAGGGAAAACACACAGGCACACAAAACAACTTGGGCTAAATCTGACAAACAGGAAGACAGCATACTGGAGAAAGATGGCTTGGGTATGATTATTTTCCTGCATTTTGCTAAACACCATTTATCTTCTGGGAAGCAGTACAAGCAGAGCTGTGGCTTTCAGTCTGTGCAAATATTATTGCTATGCATGTGAAGAGATTAACTCACTGAAACAGAAAAACACAGACTCTAAGGAACAGTATAGATTCTTTCTTTTCACTTGTGCCTTTCTCTTATCAGACTATCATGGCCAGCATTTTGGTTTTTCATTTGCTTGCGTGTTTGTTCCTTGCTTTAGTTTGGGGTGTTTCTTTCTTTCTTTTTCTTCTTTTTTAAATGATTTCTCACAGAATAGTTTAAACCAGACAGAAAATGCAACCTAACTGTGATGTAGGCTCATTTGTCACCTTCAAGAAACTGACAGTTTTCCTTTGATAACACTATTTTGCCTTGGGTTTAAGATGCAAAATACAATAGTTATTACTTTATAGGTATCCCATCAGGAATAAAGAAACTGGTGCTTTACCCACTGTCTAGAACATTGTCCCTTCCTTTTTCCTTGGCTCTTTCTTTTCTCATCTTCATATCTTTGCTTAAATGTCAGGCTTTCAGTTCAGTTCAGTTCCTTAAAAATTAAACATACTCAAAAGTAAACAAGATTACCACAACTGAGCAATTCTATTTCTAGGCATGTGCACTAGAGAAATGTAAACATCTGCACAAAACCTTGTGCATGATTGTTCGTAGCAACATTATTCTTAAGAGCCCCAAACTGGGAAATATTCAAAGATTTGTCAACTGGCAAATGAAGAAAATGGATAAACAAAATGCGATATACCCATAGATCGAAATATTATTTAGCTGCAAAAAGTACTGATATATGCTACAACACTGATTAACCTAAAAAGCATTATGCTAAATGAAAGCAATCAATACAAAAGATCACATATTGTGTGATTCCCCTTGTACGAAATGTCCAGAAAGAAGCAAATCTATAGGAAGTACACAAAAGGTTGCTTGTGACTGGAGATAGAAACAGAAATTAACTGTACATGGGAATGAGGGAGCTTAAAGGGGTGATGAGAATGTTATAAAAATTGTATTTCAATGATAGTTATACAACTCAGTGAGCTGAATGAAAATCACTGAACTGTACAACAAAAAAATTTTTATAATAATAAAGCCAGGCCTTTTTTAGCCCAAGAGTAAATAAAATGCCCTTGCTGTACCTTCCCTTGGCTCCTGCTTTAGATAGCCTCATTCCATTTGAAAGTACCTGGATCTGGTCTCAGATACACATAGATTCTATTCTCAACTGTGCTATTTACTGGCTTGATCCTGGACAAATCACTTGCCCTCCATAAGACTTCAGGGCACAGGTCTGTTTGTATTGAATTATTTGTCAGGGCCTCAGAATGTTTTTGTGTTTGTGTCCTTTCTACCTAACTAGACCATGTACTCAGGGCCTGTTCTTCTGTCTCTCTTGTACTATGCCTGGTGACACAGCTGACATCTCTGGGCAGTGCAGTGTGCTGGGTAAAACCTCTGCAACCAGGGCGCTTGCATTTAACGACCTACTCCCTAGCTGTGTGACCATGGCCAAGGTATTTAACCACACTGATTCACCATTCTTAAATGTTTGTGTGTGTGTGTGTGTGTGTGTGTGTGTGAGTTATTAAGGTCTTCTGAAAATTAAATGAGATGATACAAATTACATGAGGTGAAGCATGCTAATACATATACAGTGATCAGAACAGCACCTGAGGGCCCATTAGAAGTGCAACGTGCTAGGTATAATCTGTATACTCCATATCTGGACAGATACAAATAACACACATCTGCTTGGCTTTTCACTTCCCAGGAGTGTTTGGATCCACTCTCAAAATGCATCACCACCAACCAGCCTTGGTAACACTCTTCAACAGAAAATGCTCACCTAGACCTCCAAACAGCCTGGGTGTTTATGGTTCTCCTTTAATCCTCCGCCTCAGTTTCTCATCAAAGTAGGTTGTCTTTTAGTAAAAACTTAACAAATGCTTTTATACTTGGATTTTGTACTAGCAAATTCTATTAATTTGAAGAATTGTGCACTTAGCATAGTAATTGAATGCTGACTGAGTACCGGAATTCTAGGAGGTGGAGACTAAATACTTGTCCTTAAGAAGTCTGAGAATCAGAGGTTCCCAAACTCCCTTGGGTATCAGTGACCTCGAGAAACAGTAGGTGATAAGGTGTAGCAAGAGGAAGGAAGGGTTAAAAATCACTCCTCTACTAAAACAATTTTTTTAAGTAATGTAATATCTGCAGAAAAGCATCTTTAGAAAATCTTGCTATTTTTATTGATCTGTAACATGCAATCAATGTAAACATAACATGTTTGCTATGTAAACAGTCTCAGGTAAGTCCCCTATGAGATTGTTCCTCAAAACGAACTTCTGACTTACCCCATGTTGAAATTTTGGAACTGTCATCCAAGTATAAAGTTTTTTTTGCTCATTTACTTATTTAGTATGCTGGTGGATTTCAAAAATACAGATCCACTGGACTTTCTGACTCAGAATCTCTAGAGGTAGAACCCAGGCATCTGTCCTGTTAACTGTCCCCCAGGGTTCAGTTAACAGATCTGTGTTGGGAAATGCTGCTCACAGGTGGCAGAAAGGGAGGATGGGTTACCCTAAAGACAGAGAGACCAGTGAGGAGGTGAGAAGTGAGGACAAGGTGGGCAAGGCAAGGAGGATGTGGGGGGGCTTAGCCCCTCAAGATGTCCATGTCCTCATCCCTTGAACCTGTGAAGTCACCTGACATGGCAAAAAGGATTTTGCAGATGTGATTAGGGACTTTGAGACAGGGAGGTTATCTGGGTGAGCTCTTAGTGTTATCACAGTATCCTTGTAAGAGGGAAGGAGAGAGAGATTCAGTTGCAGAAGAGGAAGAAGTCTTTGGACGGGTGACCATAGACGCAGGGAGAGAAAAACTGTTGTTCTTGGAGGAAGCAGCCATTAGGCTTGAACAACACTGGTGTTAATCCATGTATAATTTACAGTTGGGCCTCCATGTCTGTGGTTCTTCTGCAGCCACAGATTCAACCAACAGAGGACCATGTACTGCTATATTATTTACTATTGAGAAATATCCCCATATAAGTAGAAACATGCAGTTCAAACCTGTGCTGTCAAAGAGTCAACTGTACAGAAATATGTAGGAATGAAACCATTAAGAGCTGGCAATTGTTAGATTATGCAAGGTTTAAAAACAGAGACAGAAGGAAGAATAAAAAATGAGTCAAGATTTCTAATTGTTGATGGATGAATTGATTCCTGACCCCCTCAAAAAAAAAAAGGAGGTTTTTAAAAAAATAGAGTTGTTTGGGCTTTTACTCAGGGAAGGTACAGGTGAAGATGGCCAACAGAGCGTTGGATATACAGGTTTAAGATTTGGGTTCTATCATCTGCAAAAGGGAAAGCTGAAATATAATCCATGTCTGCTGGTTGCGGGGACTAAAACAGACAGTGCGTGTGGAAGTCTGGCGTGTGAAGGTATTCAACACATCAGAGGAAATACCTCCACCACGACATAGTTTCATGATTTGGGGTCTGTTTCCAGGCAAATCAGGCTATGAGACTTTGTCCCTTATCCGCACCCTCACCCCATTAGTCTATTTGGCAGAATGCAAAATGCTAACCGGAGTGGTCGTTAAAATAGTCACTAACATCAGCTAAGGTTTAAGTGCCTGGTGAAAGGTGCCTCTGTTGACCCCAGAGGAAGATGCATGCTAATGCAGCCAGTCAATATTTCTTAATTGAGTAAAGCTTCATTAATTGGGACACAGAAAGGCTCAACTCTCAACAGAGTTTATGTTTTCCCCTTTTTTAAAGATAAGGGAAGCAAATGAAGAGTTTAACAAGATTTCCAGAGGGATTATTTAAACACCTCACAAAAGCAAATTGCTTTTAATCACCTTCAAACACTTGAGAAGGACCATTGGCCGTCCAGCTGATTTCTGAATGGCAAATCATTTCTAATTCTTTATTAAGCAAGTGCTCGAGGGAAGATGAAGGAATAATTTTATAACCTGGTTCTATTTCTTGGAAATAGTGAAACCATTTCCTTTAAAATATGTCACCATTCTGACCTCCACTCATTCTAATTGGCCTTCCTCTAACAAGGAGTAGGGGCTTCCCTGTGGCTCAAATGGTAAAGAATCTGCCTGCAGTGCAGGAGATGTGGGTTGGATCCCTGAGTTGGGAAGATTCCCTGGAGAAGATTTAGTCAAAGCTATGGTTTTCCAGTAGTCATGTACAGATGAGAGAGTTGGACCATAAAGAAGGCTGAGAGTGAAGAATTAATGCTTTCCAGCTTTGGTGTTGGAGAAGACTCTTGAGAGTCCCTTGGACTGCAAGGAGATCAAACCAGTCCATCCTAAAGGAAATCAACCCTGAATATTCATTGGAAGGACTGATGCTGAAGCTGAAGCTCCAATACTTTGACCACCTGATGGGAAGAATTGACTCATTTGAAAAGACCCTGATGCTGGGAAAGATTGAAGACAGGAGGAGAAGGGGATGACAGAGGATGAGATGGTTGGATGGCGTCATTGATTCAGTGGACATGAGTTTGTGCATACTTCAGGAGATGTTGAAGGAGAGGGAGGCCTGGCATGCTGTAGTCCATGGGGTCACAAAGAGTCGAACACGACTGAGTGACTGAACAACAAAAGCAAGGAGTCAGATAAATGAGGGTTTCATAGATCTTCTCCAGAGCTCCTTCTCCACCACCTGTCTTAGCCATGTATTTTAGGGTTTCTGGACTTAATTCCAGTGTATGAATGTGTGTGTAGGGGTGGGACTCCTTCCCATATCAGCAAGCAATTCTCAGGACACCAGGTGGCATCCTATGATTCAACTCAATTCAGACACTGCACACCCAGAGATAGCATCAGGTTTCAGAGTCAGGGTTCAGTCCCACAAGAGTGCCCCCATCTGCTCCCTGCTGTCCCACTTCAGTTATCTCCTGCGCTTGTGACCAGCTGGCTAGAGACTGGAGGCTCTGATGATTCTAATTCATGATGCCAAATGCAAGTCCAGGTTGTCACCTGTGTATCTGACCAACACTGAAGGTTCCCACAGCTTCCTTCCTTAATTTGCTAGAGCAGCTCGCAAAACTCGGAAACATTTATTTACTAGGTTACTGGCTTATTATAAAAGGATTTAATTCAGGAATAACCAGATGGAAGTCAATAGCCAAAAACCGAAAACAAGTTAATTAAAAAATAGGGTCAGTTCAGTTTACTTCAGTTCAGTCGCTCAGTCGTGTCCAACTCTTTGCGACCCCATGAATCGCAGCACGCCAGGCCTCCCTGTCCATCACCAACTCCCGGAGTCTACTCAAACTCATGTCCATTGAGTCGGTGATGCCATCCAACCCTCTCATCCTCTATTGTCCCCTTCTCCTCCTGCCCTCCATCTTTCCCAGCATCAGGGTCTTTTCAAGTGAGCCAGCTCTTTGCATCAGGTGGCCAAAGGATTGGAGTTNGGAGACCTGGGTTCTATCCCTGGGTTGGGAAGATCCCCTGGAGAAGGGAATGGCTATCCACTCTAGTATTCTGGCCTGGAGCATTTAATGGACAGAGGAGCCTGGCAGGCTACAGTTCATGGGGTTGCAAAGAGTCAGAAATGACTGAGTGACTTTCACACACATGGAAAACAGTATGAAATTCCTCAAAAAATTAAAAATGCAATCATAATGGGACCCAGAAATTCTACTTCTGGATATTTATCTGAAGAAAACAAAAACATTAATTTGAAAAAAAAATATGAGCCTCCATGTTTTTACACACACACACACACACACATACAGTGGAACATTATTCAGTCATAAAAGAGAATTAAATCTGGCCATTTGCAACAACGTAAATGGACTTTGAGTGTATTATGCTAAGTGATATCATATGATCTTACTTATATGGGGAATCTAAAAACAAAAAACCAAGATGATAGATATAGAGAAGAGCTATTTGGTGGTTGCCAGATGTGGCAGGTAAAGGATGGGAGGAACAGGTTAAAAGAAAGAAAAAATTAATTAAAAAAAATTTTTTTTCGTCTCAGCTCCCGTCATCTTCTACCTGGACTCCTGCAACAGTTCTTCCTCTAGCTTGTTGAATCTACTCAACAGTCTTCTAATTTCCTCAGTGACAAGTGCCAGTGAGACCTACCCAATACAAAGTGTAGTCTCTGGAGTCAGACTGAATGGGATCATTAACCCTAGGACTTTTGCTCATGCATAGTGTTTCCCGTCCTCATTGTCTTCACCTACAGAACTGATAGCAGTCACTGCCTTTGAGGTTTCAGGTGAGGATTAGGTGAAAGTGAAGGGCTTTCCTTAGCACCTACAAATAACAACTGCTAAGTAAATCTAGGTTCCATGACTGTGACCACTTGGCCTGTCCACCAGCCAACCAGTTTGGACAATCTCACTCCAGTTATTACAAACTAGCACGTGTTTATCCTGCAATAGTCATTTATCAGTTTATGTAAGTCAAGTGCAAAAGAAGGTTTACACCTTGTTTTTTTTCCCCATAATTTTTGAGAAGCATAATGAGGAGAAAATGCATGTAACTTAAATGAAACCAATCATACTTATGAACAGTCTAAGTCATGGATATAAAAGGAAGATTTAAAATATGAGTAGATGGATCATTTCATTATTCTTTCTTTAAAGTGAATACAATTCCTTTCATACGCCTAACAGACTCTTCCCACAACTTATCCCCTGTAGCTCCCAGTAAAAAAATCAAAACTATCTTTAAAGAAATTAAAAAACCAACTCTGAGTGAGCCATTAAATATTCAGAAGGGCACTTAATCTATGAAGAAAGAATGCAATCCTTAGCTGACCGGAGACAAACAATGAAAAATCAGAAAATAATGGTACTCTGAAATCTTCATTGTAATTCTCTCTAGACACAAATAACGTGTTTTTTATCAGGTGATTTCTTTTATCTCAGGAGCTGTTCTAATTGCTTAAAATTTGCTCCGAGTTGGGTAATTCAAAGTGTCTCACCATCATATTTTGCTGGAAAAGCTCATTATCTTAATGTGAAGGAAGCTTTCTCTAAAATGATGAAAAGAATATATTTAAATGAAATGCCATTTTATTCTTTTTAAAGGACTCAGGGCTGCAGTTCGTACTTTAAGAGGCTCTAAAGACTGAAGACATTCCAATGGCTGCTCTCCACACCCCACCTCGTATTTCAAAATAAAAAAAACTCTAAAATAAGTGGGGGGAAAGGCCAAAGTTCTCCTTTTCCCACAAGGACTACATTGTTGATTTCCTTCAAATAGCATATACTTAAATTCTTTCTCCAAATGTTTTTCTTCGTGAAGTTACCTGATCGGCTTAATCTGCCTACTACAGACTCAGCGTAGTACGAACCCACAGGACGCAAACTGTGTGGGCACAGAGCGGTCTAGCAAAGGTGAGACTTGAAGGCCTGGGTCCAAATCCCATCTGAGCCACTTCCTACCTGTGTGACCCTGGGCTAGTTCCTTCTCACTGAGCATTAATCATCTGGTCTGTGGTTGAAGCATGGTTGTGTTGGGATAAGAACAAGTAAACAGATGCACAGTCCCCTAAATCTGTCCTCTCAATTTGCTAACTAAATAATAGTATAGAGCTCTTTGCAATTAACCCATCACTTGTACGTAAACAGTGCCTCAGCAAAGCACTATTGATTTCCTTAAGTAAACTAAATGAGCACCCTTACACGGTTTATTTATTTTTAAAATTTGTTTAGCATGTTCAGACAGCAGAGAATATTTCAAAAACTCCACAGGTTTCAGTTTATCAGAATTTGAGTTAATGAGTTTTTGGTAGGTATCTTAAACATGTGGAGAGAAGGAATGAACAAAGAAGAGAAGAAAATTATGTACAATGGCCATTAAAGATAACAGAACACAATCTTTTCAGTGGATTTTAAGCATTTGGGGAGTAAACAAAATATTCTTTTGTAGGAATATGCTTGACACCTGCTGGGAAACCCATTTTCCCAGGAAGGTGAAGGCTTTCAATACCTGCTCAATTACTTTGTGCCTTGTCACTTGTTAGGTACTGAAATTTTAAAGAAAAAGATGGTACTAGTTAGCACCTCATTGCTGCAGGAGTCATTCATTCAGCAAACTTTTTATTGAGTCTACTCAATATCAACCCACGATCTTAGATAATTAGGATGAAATTACCAACAAGACTCATATATGACTCTCATCACATGGAACATACATGTTTGGAGAGGGGAAGAAAGCTACCCTTGAGGACATTTATTTTCTAGTAACCATGTGCCAGGCACTCCTTTAGCACATTACATGTGAATGCATTTTTATGAATTTCACTGATAGGACTGAATTAGAAGCTATGCAATTCCTGTCTCTCCTTGCAGTTACCATCAAAAGTTGTTCAGCAGAAATAAACTAATGGTTAGGATTAATACACACATACATATATATCTATTATCTGTGTATATATACATAATAGATAACCAAACAAGATCTACTGTATAGCACAGGGAACTATACTTAATATTTTGTGATAACCTATAAGGGAAAATAATTTGAAAAAGTATATATATATATATGTAAAACTGAATCACATATATTTATATATATAACAATCACAGTATGGTGTGTATATATATATATATATATATATATATGCATGAATGCTAAGTTGCTTCAGTCATGTCCAACTCTTCGAAACCCCATGGATTGTAGCCTGCCAGCCTCCTCTGTCCATGGAATTCTCCAGGCAGTAATACTGGAGTGGGTTGCCATTTCCTCCTCCAGGATATATATGTACATATATATATGTATATATATAACTGAAACACAGTGTTGTACATGTGAAACACACACAGAATTGTAAATCAACTATGATTCAATTTTTTAAAACTTTGTTAGCTGAAAAATTAAAACTACCATCATTAAACCTAAATTTCTCCAAAAATTTTTTCTATGTAATATATTTAAAAAGGTACCTGTGTTCTTCAAAAATGTCACTCTTATGGGAAAAAAAAACAAACCTGAAGAATTGATCAAAATTAAAGGAGACATAGTAACAAAATGTAATAAGCAATCTTGGTCTGAATCCTGTACTGTAGAAGAAAAATACAATAAAGATCCTATTGGATCAGTCAACAAAATTGGAATGTGAACAGTAGACTGAATAAAAATATTGATTAATGTTTAATTACCTGAAGTAGATAATTATAATGCAGTTATGTAAGAGAATGTTCTTATTCTTAGGAAGACACAGTAAAGGACTTAAGGATAAGGTGGTATAACTGCAGATGGTTTGGGAAAAATATTCTATATATGACAAATGACAAAGTAAATAGGGCAAGACATTAACAATTGGTGAATCTAGGTGAAGGGCATTATGGAGTGTTTTTATACTATCTTGGTAAGTTTTTTTCTTGATGCTTGTAATTCCTTGCAAATAGAAGTTTAAAAATACCGTAAATCTAAAACGTAGGCTCCCTAATAGTACAAAGGTAGGGATGAAAATTCCAAGTACATACTCTCTGCAGCTGGGGATCATTAAGAATGATGTCCTGTTGTGACCAGATATTAAAAGTCTGATCTACCATGGTGAATTTCTATGGATCTGGGCAATAAAATGGAACATTCTCCCAGTCTTGGATTTTATTATCATTCTTCTGAGAATGTATTCTTGGTCAGATATTCTTTATTTTGGCTCCAGATCACCTACAATTTCAGAATGTGTTTTGAAGTCAATTCACATCTAAGGCCTTCCAAATATTGAAAATGTCATTAAAATATGAAGTAGAATTGAGCAGATTTTTGCGTTAAAATTCTCCCAGTCTATTCTCATTTCCACTCATCGCTGTGTGTGTGTGTGTGTGTGTATGTGTGTGTACGCACGGGCATGCGCACAAACGCACTCCATCATGTCCTACTCTTTGTGTCTCTTTGGACCATAGCCTGCCAGGCTCCTCTCTCCGTGGAATTTTCCAGACAAGAATACGGGAGTGGGTTGCCATTTCCTTCTCCAGGGGATCTTTCCAACCCAGGGATTGAACCTACGTCTCTTGTGTCTGCTGCACTGGCAGGCAGGTTCTTTATCAGCTGAGCCACCAGGGAAGCCCACTGTGGAAGTTTTACTGAAATCTGAAATCTCTAAGTAGCTTAGTCTCTTGATAGCTCAAATATAACTTTTTGCCCTGATTTAAAGTTTTCTTTAACGTGATTTATGTGCTAACTTAGACATTTCTCAGGAGGTGAGGGATTCAAAGAGCAGCCATGATTTGGGACTTTGGGAAAGAATAATTTTATGGAGGCTCAGTTATAATGGGGAAAATAATTCTTACCTCAGAGCGGATGATGTAAGAGATAATTGTCATTTGCAAAATGCCTCAAGGTCTTGAGATAAAAGGGGTCATTTTGGTGTATCAGGCTGTCATTTTTATTATGTGCTTTCTTATTTTTCTTTTACAGATTATGGAGCAAACTTGTTTTAAATGAATTCAAAGTGGTTGCCTTACTTCACCGATTAAACCATCTACTTGCCCTTGGCCACAGGCAGAGTTCTTATCAATGGAATGAAGAATAAAGTAATTCCTAGCTTTGTTGCTTCTCCTTTTATTTTCACTGGCTTTCTAAATGAGCTACTTTATTTTCAATGTATTATTCCATTTTAATTATTTCCATGTTATTATTTTAGTTTAAATTATACAAATGACCCTTGCCTTAGCACATTAATTGTAAGTGTACAGCCAGGGAAATTCAGTTTCACTGTCTTAGTCTAATTGGGCTGCTATAACAAAGCATCATAGACTGTGTGGCTTCTAAACAACAGATATGTGTTTCTCACAGTCTTGGAGACTGAAGTCTGAGACAAGGGTGCTAGTATGGTTGGGTTCTGATGAGGGTCCTCTTCTGGCTTTTAGATTGCCCTCTTCTCCTAGTACCTTCACATGGAGGAAAATGGACAAAGGAGTACTCTAACCTCTTTTTATAAGGGCACCAATCGGTGGTTCAGACAGTAAAGGATCTGCCTGCAATGCAGGAGACCTGGCTTTGATCCCTGGGTTGGGAAGATCCCTTGGAGAAGACAACAGCTACCCATTCCAGTATTCTTGCCTGGAGAATTCCATGGACAGAGGAGCCTGGCAGGCTACAGTCCATGGAGACACAAACAGTCAGACTGAGCGACTTTCACTTTACTTCAATCCCACTTACCGAAGCTTCATCACATGACCTAATGACTTCCACCTCTGAATTCCATCATATTAGGAGTTAGAATTAGGGGTGGGGAATACAAACATTGAGTCCATAACATCCATCAATATTTATTGAACACCTGTCATGTGTTAGGCACTGAGAGAAAACTGGTGGACCCACTTGCAGGATTTATGAAGCTTAGAGTTTAGTGGTGCAGAAGCACAAGGAATAATCATGAAATAAATAGTCCATTTTAAAGTTTGACAAAAGACATAACCAGAGACTTGATACTATTAGGATGGAGCCTGGTATAAACTTCTAATCGATCTTCCTAGTTCTGTTTGTAATAAATGTGATTGCAGATGTCCTCAGAGGTAAGACATTTTAATAACACACTAATTTGTCAGAAACTCTGTATCTAGGTCAAAGGAAGAGCTCAGTCTCAATTGTTAGTGCTGATTTTGGTTTTCTCTGAGTTTTAATATTTTTGAGGATATGATGGAACATTGCAACTGTAGAAAAAAATTGCAAACCTGAGCCAAAACTGGTTCTTATATAATTGACTGTAAGAATCAAGAGGAAATTAAACATTTTTAAAAAGAAAAACACGAAATAAACAACATTGCAGTAATGAACTTAGGGACAAAATATTTATGAGTCATTGCAATTCCCTAGTGGAACATCTAGTTATCATTTATTGAATGCTTTCTCTTTGTACAGAGTAAGGACTTCAATAAATGATACCTATTACTATGTTCTATTTTGGAGGCTCATATTGTGATAAGGACTCACTCAGATTAGCTTAAATAATGTGGAGATGTCAAAAGGACCTGAAAATACAGGCAATCAGGAATTTCAGCTCTGTGGTAGAATGATCTCACAGGGACCCAGAAAATGAAATGTTCTATCTAGTCTAACAGCAAGAAGAGGACCCATCTTATTTCAAAGAGATTTGAATGCATGGAATATTTCTGTAGAGTAGTGGTTCTCAAAGTTTGGTCCTTGGATCAACAGTATCAGCACCAACTAGGAATTTGTTAGCAATGCAAATTCTTGGTGCCCCAGACCCACTGTATTAGGAATTCTGACTGTGGAACTAGCATCTCTATTTTAACAGGCCCTCCAGGCAAGGAGAGAAGATTGTTTCTAGATTTCTATCACCTTTACCATCTGGGATAATTGGGACATCAATCACCAATTAAACAGAAGTCTCAATTTAAACAATAAATGGAATTATGGACTGACCTAATTTAAAGATCCAGAAGCAGGGACTCTCTGCCCAAGTTTGAGGAAAACTGCCCTAGACCAGACCTGCCCTGGTTAACTCTGGCTAGTCACTGGGTATGAAAACCTTGGCTACAGGATTTCATGACTTGACTATGTGACTCAGTCTCTCCTTTCCTTTGGGTTTTGCTTCCTTAGCTAACACTTATTTTATTTTCTCAGTATCTCAATTTGAGAGGGTCTGATTGGTGCAATGTTGTGACCAATATTCCTAATGGACAAAGCTCTGGAGCCAGGTCAGCCTAGAGGTCACCAATCAGCCTATCAAGTGGCTGCCTTAAGGTCCCATGCCCACTCTTGGTCCAGTCAGCCAAGGCCAGAGAGCTGGGCCTATAGGGAAGACCCTGTAAGTGGGGCTACTGATGCATAATGAATGGCTTGGAACAGTTTCTAGAAGTATTCTATGGAAGGCTCTCCATCAGAAAGAACTATTGGTCCCTTACTTTTATCACCTAGAAATATTGAATGCCCGAGCATAGCCATGACTTCTGATACAGGTCCAAAAATGAATTGGTTTGTACTGGAATAACTGTGAAGCTGTTATAACAAAGTCCCTTAAATACTAACGTGTCTAAATAACCACAGATGACTGGACATTCATCAGACCTATTATGTCCTTTTTCAGTGAAGGTCCTTGAGGTAAGGATCAGTACCCAAAATACTCCCTGGCACATATTGAGTGCTCAATAGCTATTTATTGAATAAATGAATGGATGGATGGGTGAGTGAGAAAAAGGAATCCATCTGGACCTACAGATTACCATAAGTGAAGTAACCAGAGAAAGACAAATATCATATGATATCACTTATATATGAAATCTAAACAAATGATACAAAGTCATTTACAAAATGGAAACAGACTCACAGACATATAAGACAAACTTTAAGATAACCAAAAAGGATGCGATGGGGGAATAAATTGAGAGTAAGGGATTAACAGATATACACTCTATATAAAGTAAACAATAAGGATTTACTGTACAGCACAGGGAACTATATTCAATATCTTATAATAGCTTATAATGGACAAGAATAAAATAAAATATATGTAATATAGTATAATTTAAAACTGAATCACTTTGCAGTACACTTGAAAATATCCTAATATTGTAAGTCAATTATGCCTCAATTTTAAACTTTTTGTCAAGGGGAAGGGTTAACACACACAAACAAAAAAGCCAACAAAAACAAAATTTTGAATTCTTGTATTCAGAGTCTCAAATTTAAAACTTTTGATTCAATAGCCTATATTTATACAGGCTGTTTTTGAGAACATTTTACATAGCTTTCAAACAAAGGAGCATACATAACCACATTTGCTGCAGCTTTATGTAAAATAGCTAAAGGTTATAGCCTAAATGATTCGCTATAGGACCTTGGTTAAATAAATCACAGAACCAAAACAGAGACTAGTTTGGAGCTGTTTCATAATTTTAAATGAATTTCTTCAGAAATGTGTAATAGGTATTTGCTACAGTTGCTTCATTTCACTAATTAAACAAACTAATTTACTCACCCTTGTTTGCAGGTAGCAGCAAAATGAAGAATGAAAAATTCCTACCCATGTTGTCATATTTAAGAAGCAGTTTTCCCATTAAAAAAAACAAATATGTTTGTTGGTTGTCCATCAACCATATTTCAATTGAAATAAAAAATAAAGAAGCAGCTTAAATATTTTCTGATATGGAACAACCTCTGAAAAATATTTGTAAGCAAAAAAAGCAAGATGCTGACAGCATATATTAAGTTTGCCAAAAGATTCATTTGTGTTTTTCCATAATGTCTTATAGAAAAACTCAAATGAACTTTTGGGCCAACCCAATAGCAAGTGTTAACTTCTTTGTGCAGAATATCTTTAGAAGTATACTAAGAAGCCTGTAAAGGAATTAAATGTTGCCTTTGAGGAGGAGAACTGAGAAAAATGGGATGGAGACACCTTCCTCAATGTTTATCCTTTCACACTATTGCCATTTTTAAGAAAACAGATGTATTCAAAATGTTATTAACATATTTAAGGTGTTAACACTTGGAAGATTTCACTTAAAAAAACTAAGAGAAAATAGATCTTGCAGCAATTACAGCTGCATCCTGATTTCCTATATATACTACTATATTTTTAGAGAACAGAAAATTGTTTCTGGATTTCTGTCACCCTTACCTCCTAGGATATTTGGTCAGCGAATCCAGAAGTTTCAGTTTCAGTAACAGAATATATAGACTTTGTGGAAGAGTCCAGAAACAGGGCCAGACTCAGTTGCGATCTGATGCATGTTATGGGGGCTCCACTGCTCTTTCCACTCAGTTCTCTCATCTAGGTCGTCCTCTGAATTAGCACTGGCCTCGGGCTGGCTCCCCCTAACAGTGGCAAAAAATGTCACTGCTGTTCTAGGGGCTGGCAATGCCACCACACAGCCCAGAATGAGGGGAGCCTCTGTCCCGGCATTCCAAGTGCAGCGCCCGAGGTTCACGCCTGGAACCAGCCTAGATCACCGGTGCAGAGCCTGGCATCCGTGACTGTGGCCAGGTGAACCAAATGGGCCACACCTGAGTTCCTTGCTCCTGCCCCTGGGAAGACAGAATTCACTTCCATGGCACCATGATGTAATGGGATGCACGCATGTTCAGACATGACTCTTTTCAACCCCCTGGACTGTAGCCCTGCCAGGCTCCTCTGTCTGGAATTTTCCAGGTAAGAATGCTGGAATGGGTTGCCATTCCCTTCTCCAGGGGATCTTCACCACCCAGGGATCCAACCCTCAAGCCGCCTGCATTGGCAGGTAGGTTCTTTACCACTGAGTCACCGGGAAGCCTCCCTGGTACCACAGGGGGCCTCAAATGCAAGATGAGAATTGTTGGGAAGCAGGAACCGAAGAGTGGAGGCTGATAAGAAATATCAGAGCTCTCCCCTGAAAGTTGATTTCAAGTTTGGAAAAGTGAGGGGTTGGCTAACTCTTCTCACTTTGTCCCAGACTCATGCCATACCTTTTGTTTGTTTTTTCCTTGCAGATGAAATGCCTTGGCAATCCATCAACTGGATGGGCAATGGTATCTTAGATAACACCACACATT